GCACGGGTATATTTGTAGCAATAGCCAAAAATACATTGTATGGGTCAAAATTATAGATTTTTCTTTTATGCCAAAAAACATTAGGACATTAAGTAAAGATCATGTTATATCCAATTATATTAAAAACATTATACATTATATCCAATCGTTTTTCATGTTTTCATGAACAACAGTAGCAGCAGTTTTGATCAATTGTAAAACTAACCTATTAATGAAAAATATAATTCAATTTCAGCCTAATTTCACGTGCTACATCATTGCTATATATTATACAGTACCGTTTAAAAGTTTAGTGTCAGTAAGATTTTTGAAAGAAGTCTCTTATGACCAAGGCTGCATTTATTTGATCAAAAATACAGTAAAAACAGTAATATTGTGAAATATTACCATTTAAAATAAGTGTTATCTATTTGAATCTATCTATCTATACACACACACATATATACATACATACACATATATATATATACACATGTATATATATATATATACACACATACACACACACACACACACACATATATATATATATATATATATATTCAAATAGATAACACAAAAGAATTTTCAGCAACATTACTGCAGTCTTCAGTGTTGCATGATCCTTCAGAAATCATTCTCATATGCTGATTTGCTGCTCAAGAAACATTTTGAACAGCATTTCAGAATTTTGAACATAAACAGTTTTTTTAAACCGTTTTTTGCAACATTATAAATGTCTTATATGGTACTTTTGACTAATTTATTGTGTCATTGCTCAAAAGTCTGATTTCTAAAAAAAAATAAAATAAATTACTGGCCCCAGATTTGAACAGTATTGCATGTGTTATAATGCAATGAAAATAAAGGCTTCAAATGTTTCAGAAAAAAAAAATAATTAAACCACGCTAAAATATTTCATGAAAATCAATATTTATACTTGAAGTTTTGACATACATGAAGTTTAGGAGGTCACGTACCTGTGGGGACCAATCCAGACAGGTCACCACTCGCTGTTTGGACCAGCGATCATCAACAAACTTCCTGTTTAGAGACAGTTTGGCCCCAGCCTGCATCTCACTAGACACACACACACACACACACACATACACACATACAAGTATCTGACATTAAAATCGAATCGAATCGTGAGTTGAGTGAATCGTTACATCCCTATTAAACAGTGCACATGAGCTGGTTTGTGATCTCGTTTAGGTGAGTAGGGCTGACTGTTACCCCTCTTTCTCCTCCATGTCACGGCCGCTGTAGTCGAAGAAAACATCCACGTGTTCGGACAGAGCGCGCTCCATGATACGTGTGCTGTGATCGAAGAACTCCATGAACTCCTCCGAGTGCAGAAGCTGCAGCTTCTCCTCCTCTGTTAGCTCATGAGGAGGCGCTACACTCACGAACAGACAGGAAACAATGGCAGGTGTGTCACTGGATGAAATTAATTGCATTTATGCATCAGAATGGTTGAACTCTTGATTCTAGTGTTTGACAAATGTTCCAAAGTGTTTCATTAAATAGTGTTTATTTTTGCATAACTGTGAAGCAGTTTCAGGTTTGTTCCAGTCAATCCAATATTGAGCCATGCAAGATGCTTAACTATTATTGTAAGAGAGTAGCTCTACACAAAAGATGCCTAAACACATGTGTATCGCAGGGAGCAACTGTGCATAAGTGGAAGAGTGGATTGCAAACCACTAAACTATTGAAAATTTAATGCACACCGGGTACAATCATGTCCATGACTTGAAGCAGGGTGCACTAAACTGTGTGCATTAAACCGTCAATATTTCAGTGGTCTGTTGTGAATTTTTCCTTACATATATTTATTACCTAGACTGTGTTTCCATTACACCAACATTAAACTAAAAATGGACACGTTTTATGTTAAGGTCCAATTCTCGCTATTACAAACTATTAACTACGACTTTTGCCTCAATAAACTCCTAATTTGCTGCTTATTAATAGTTAGTAAGGTAGTTGTTAAGTTTAGGTATTGGGTATGATTATGGATGTAGAATATGGTCATGCAGAATATGTGCTTTATAAGCACTACTAAACAGTCAATATGTTAATAATAGGCATGCAAATAAGCAACTAGTTAATAGTGAGAAATGGTCCCTATACTAAAGTGTTTCCCTAAAAATCTGATTTCTGTGACAAACATTTCAAATAGACAGAACTTCCATGAAATGTCAACTTCAACATTTCAACAGCATTTCTCATTTTCATTTAGTTTAAAGAGAAATGCTAAAATAACTCAAACCGAAACTATACAAACATATTTTAAAACAAACTAATAAAAAAAATGACTGAAACACAACAAAATGACAAACTAAAATAAAAAAAAAACAGAAAAAAATAAAAATGTCATTAAAAATATTAGCCAAAACTAAGATAGTACATCAATGATACTAAAATAGCACTGATGTATTACACTGGAGTCCGTAGGACACTGTATATGAGGTGTGTTCAATACTTTCAATACCTTCCTCATCTTGTTTCTCTGCTGGTTTCTCTTTCTCTGCCTCGACCTCAGGCAGCGGGGGTGCGGTCTCTTCCTCCTCAGCTTCCTCTGCAATAGGAAGATCACAAACATCAACATAATTCACACCAGAGCTGCTGAACTGTCTTATTATAGGGCCCATGTTACACACTACTCGGGTTATCACTGAGTTAATATAGTATTTTCAAGATTACATTTGAAGAGTTCATTTGCAAAAACCGATAAACGCCACTTTAAAGAAAAAAGAGCTGATTGCCGTACATTATTCTCCACATAGAGTGCGATCTGAACCCTAAACACGTTTTGTCAAAAAAGCCGGTTTTGTCCAAGTTCACGTTTTACTGCAGAAGCCGATAAGCGCCCTTGTTGTTTTTGAACAGAAGCCGATAAGTCCATTTTAGCGAATCAGCGCGCTGTATTCAGGTCAGGTGACAAGGCTACTTTCACTTTGAAAAGACGCTAGCTGAGAGGAGTTTCGTCAAAGCTGACTAAAAGTGATCGAGGATCATTTCGACGAACTTGATGAACCTGTGATATCTTCTTCAGGGAGAAAAAGGAAAATAAAAGCTGAAACGTTTTCACGGAAGCTTGCAAAAGCAGCGCGTTACAATGGTGAGGGAAAAGCTCCGTGTATTGCGTGTAATCACACCCATACAGTTTATGATCACAACAACAACAACGTTTGTCAGGCATCTACATTGTCATCTGAGGAGATTACAAAGATTAAACCAGTGTTTTTTAAACTCTAAAACATGAAATGTGGAGTTATCTGCTTTTGCCAAAAAACAACTGTTTGAGTTATCTGCTTTTGCTATAAATAAACTTTTAATATGTAAAAAAAAACATACTTTCAATTAACTTTAATTTAGTAAATTACCTGTATAAGTTATTATTACTTCATCAAAACAACCCAACTGCACTTTGATTGATATTACTTGGAATGTGCAATAAAAAAACGTGATTTCTGAAAAAAGTTATCGGTTTTTGCAAATGAACTCTTCATTTGTTAACTGTGGGTTAATTGGTATTAAACAACTCATGGTAACATCATAGCACTGCATTCTTTCAAATTGTACAATTTGGCTCCCAAATTCATTGTTAGCAAAATCCACATTTACGCATCAACACCTATTCAGTGTTCACAACTTGGCCTAAGTACAATACGAATTATTCTGCATGAAGTCAGCCAATAGTAACAGAAATCATTAACATATGTAAATAACCTCTTAAAGGTACAGTAGCAAAAGCAGTCTTTTTAATTCTAAGGGTCAAAGAGTGTCATAAACGTCATGAAAAACTAAAATTATTAAGTTTTTGATTAAAAGAAAAATTTAGACTTTTTTTTTTTTTTTTAGATGAAACCACTGTAATCCAAAGGGTGGGAAATTTACTTTCATTTTTACTTATCAACCATAGTGGTTAAATTAAAGCTAAAATGTGCCTGCCATTTTCTCTAATCAAAAATATATAAGATATCTAACTATATGAAGAGGATCAAAAAACATGCAATGTGCATTTTTTTTTAAATGTGACTGATACTTGTTGGGGCCTCTATACCTGAAACTGAACAAACACAATATATCTATGAGTGTATGATAAAAAAATTACCATCATTGTGTTAAAAGAACCAGCCTTTTAGCAGGTGATAGATGTTAATTTCACCCTGAATCCCCATTAACATAACATAACCAGGATTGTGGAAGGATTTGCTTCATTTCACTGGTTCTGATTAATATAAATAGAATAAGTGGGGGAAGAAAATCAAATTGAATCAGCCAACAAATTCCTGAAACCCAGTGAATATGTGACAAGTCTATGACTGCTAACAGCCTGTTTAGTCTGTTCAAACGCCCAAGAACAACCTGGAGTGTGTGTTTGGACATTGTATCTACATCCCAGAGTCCGTCCTTTCTCTAATCTACAGGGGGCTACGCCGTCACCGAGGTCTTAACCTACAGCCCGTCCAACAGACTCCCGGCGTAACTGAGACAGGGACTATTGAGTAGCGCACCCCACACACACACACACACACACACACACACACACACACACACAAACACACACACACACATAGGGCAGCAGGTGCCAGCGGCTGAGACAGCTGATGGCTGTGTGTGTGTATTAGGCAGATGGTTTTGCTGTGTTTGTGTGTGTGGTGGCACAGGGATGGCACAGGGGTTTCAGCCTGACTGCTCTTAGTCAAGACTCTCTCCGGATACACAAGTCTGTGCAATTAGAGAGTCAGCAGGGGGTCCAGGGACCGCTATTCACCCCAAACATGAGCAGCTAAATGAAGCTGCTGCCCTGACCAGCTGTAAGCCACACACGGCTCATCTCTGACAATACTCTACCAATGAGCCCTGAACAAATGTAAAGCTCAGGGAAAATTTTCAAAAGAATAGTTCCCAAAATGAAATGTTTTCATTTATTTGCATTCATACCATTCTGAATCCATATGACTTTCTTTCCGCAGTGGAACAGAAAAGGAGAATATCTGAAGAATATTCTAGCCCCTCTTTTCAATATAATAAAAAAGAACCCGGTGTGAAAATGGCACCATAAAACCACAAAAAAGCAGTCTACAGTAAAGCTGGATGATTTGGGGAAACAATTTAATTGCAATATTTCGGATATAAATTTTATCAGCAATTTTTAAAATGCAATTTTTTAAAAATGTACAGGTTTGGAGCTTTAATAATAATAATAACTTAAAATATGAAACAAAATAAATACCCTACAGGTCTAAAGGTGTACCTTTTGAGAAGTAACGCCCCCAGTAACAGTTTTCTACTTTTTTGTATGAGTGTAGTAAATGTAAAATAAAACAGTAACATAAAAAATACAAAAAACAAAACAAATTTAATAATAATAATGTATTTTACAGTACAACTATACAATTATAATACTAATATTTATCTTAATTTCTTAATTTTTAAAAGTTTAAAACATCAAACTTTTATTTAAAACACCAAACTTAAAGCTTTTGTTGACAACGGCTGGTTTATTAGCACTTCTCATGACAAGTTTTGGAAGATGATCGGCACACGTTGTGTTTCCAAATGCATTATACCCACAATGCACACAACTCACAGCACACAAATTCATGTGGAGCAGCATTTACTGCAAACTGAGACACTGAAAGCAACAGGTCATGAGCTGCTTGTGTGTACAACACTGCAGTGCCATGCTTTACTCTGAAATATGCAGTTCATGTACATCATTAAATTGCAGTCTTTGTGCACTAAGACAGATCCTGATTTCGGATTTATTTTTGATTAATTGTTTATTTTTGATTAGCCACTGACCTGCATTTTATGAATTACCAAGGACCACAGTTTCAGCTAAGATCTTATTTACTGTTCTAATCAAGAAAAAAGGTCACCAACATCTTGGATGGCCTGAGGGTAAGTAAATTTTTATTTTTGGGTGAACTATCCCTATAATACATTAGCTCATCTGTGAGAAACTGACTGACAAATCAAATACGGCAGCATTGGCGAAAATCCTGTTTGACTGAGAGAAATGCCAAGTTCTGTCATGAAACTCTAGACGGCACAGGCTGATGGGTCATTAATGCAAACTGATGATATTCACAACTACTTGGCACAAGCTGATTCATTTTGCATACGTACCCAATAAGCTTACTGCTTTACATTTAAATGGCTGGGTAGCGTTCACTACAGCATTCCTCTGAAATCCTCCACCTTCCCCAGCTCCACCTGTGTAGATCTGCTACGGGTTATTATATATGCTATTTGTGCAGCAGCAGTATGTCTTAAATACTCACAGCACCGTATCACTGCATGTATTGGCAGTAGCAGGCTCCTGTACTTGCTTGAAGCAGCAGCAATAATCTACAACTACAGCAATAACCAACAGCAGCATCATAGCAGATCTAGTACGCCAAGACCAAATACATTAACATTGTCATATCCATTACCATGCTAAAATCTTCAGAGAGTTGTCATGATAGAACTACTTGAACCATTTTGTAGTTTAAAGGGTTACTTCACCCAAAAATGAAAATTAGCCCATGTTTTACTCACTCTCAAGGCATCCTAGGTGTATATGACTTTCTTCTTTCAGACAAATCCAATCTGAGTTATATTAAAAATTATCCTGGCTCTTCCAAGCGTTGGCATGGGTGGGTGTTTTTGTTCAACAGTCCAAAAGTAGTCAAATAAAGCACATCCATCCATATTAAAACATGCATCACACGGCTCCGGGAGGTGAATAAAGGCCACCTGTGGCAAATTGATGCATTTTTGTAAAAAAAAAATATCCATAATTTAAAACTACAAACAGTTTTGTGTAACTTCCGCTAACTTTCATACGTGCATTCAGGAGAGACTGCCTTTCCGGCGGATGACGTAGGACGTAGTACATGCGCGTGTGAATCTCGCGAAAACCAACGTTTGTTTACAGGAGCAAAGGAAGCAAAGTTTCCTCTTGGCTTTTATAGAAATCCTCCGACATTTTTCTTTTCAAATCCTCGTTTTGTACTTCTAATTTGTGACCGGCGTTTTGTTTTTCTGTCTCTCCTCTGCGCTTCCGCATTCGTTACTAATCATCGGTGCTTACGTTACACTGATGTCCTACGTCATCCGCCGGAACGGCTTCCGCCTACGACAGTTAGCAGAAGTGAGAGAAAGTAGTTTATATCGTTTTAAATATGGATATTTTTCTTACAAAAACACATCGATTTGCTACAGGAGGCCTTTATTCACCCCCTGGAGCCATGTGATGCACGTTTTAATATGAATGGATACGCTTTGTTTCACTACTTTTGGACTGTTGAACAAAAACACCCGCCCATGCCATTATAACGCTTGGAAGAGCAATTCGTCTGAAAGCAGAAAGTCATATACACCTAGGATGCCTTGAGGGTGAGTAAAACATGGACACATTTTAATTTTTGGGTGAATGAACCCTTTAATGTATCTTCTGTAGTCTATTTTTAATGGGAATAGTATCAGAAAAATAATGATCTTCAATATTTTCTTCACACAAAACTGACCTCAGAACACTATGAATATAATGCTACAATTGAAGTCTTTTATTCATCACAC